ATGTTGTAACTTGGGAAACCTAATAATCATTTTCACTCTTTGGGACAAGTGGTTACAACTGCATTCATATTTTTATAGTGAAACTCTTCTGATCAATCATTCCCTACAGTTTTCTCCCTTTTCACATAAAAATTTCTGTCATTATTACTTATTTTCTCTATTCTGAGTGTGCGTTGAATCTTTGTACCACACAAAAACGGTAATCTACTACTCTACTAAGGCAAATTTTCTAGCACACATTAGTGGGTAGTTATGTAAATGTGCATATTAAATTTTGTATCTTTATATCTACTAACGGGGTGTTTGACTTCAATTAGGATTTAAGTTAAAATGAATTTGGTAAATCCTAAAAATCCTTATTTATCAAATTTGATATAATGTTTGGTTCAATTATTGATATATTTTGTTGCGTTTGACTTAAATTTATTGAACTAGTTTTTTTTAGAACACTAAGGGTCTGTTTGGGGCAGTTTATAAGTGCGGACGACGTTTTCAAAACGCCGCCGTATTGTTTAGTTTGCACGTTTCACCGGCTTATCTGAAACTGTATTTGGTTTTTTACACTAAACACAGGCTGCAGGTCAACCCCTGCGGCCGACCTGCGAGCTGAGTTTCAGGATAAGCAACCTATCTTGAAATGCACAAGCTGCCCCAAACGGAACCTAAATCTACTAAATATAACTGATAAGTGAATTTAAGAGGGAGAACAAATAAAAATTGATTTAACTTAGGGAAAATATATTTAATGTTTTTATGATATTTATTAGATATAAGTTAAATTTAACTTAAATACACACGACCCCTAATAAAAGTATATAATGCAGTGGAAAGCGCCTAACGACCGATATATCGATGGTCTGCCCTCCGACGATCAAAAAATTATTTCATATGGATCGGACACCGTGCCCGATCCAGACTTTAAATCACCTGATCTACGATCCCGATGTATTTCGATTGGCACCACCTATTTTATTTTATTTTTTTTAAACGAAAATAATCCCGTCGACTCAATAATTTCTCCCGAAAATCAACCTCGGTCCATTTTTTTTCTTCTTAATCGCCGCACAACACCTCGCTTCAGTCCTCGAAAAGGTTTTTTCTCGCTGTTTGGACGAGGAGCGGGGTAAT